ATTACTTGTTAATATCTTGATTGTGCGAAGTGAAAAGTGACACAATAAGTGAACGTTCAGACGAGTTCAAGTTGATTCATAAAAGACTATGCAATCATTTATTTARYRAAATTGAACAGATCATAAGTTACACTTGATTGTGGTTATTCCTATAATAGCGTCAGAGTTAACTGGCATAAAATTCGCGTCCAACTTTCAGTCCACATTACTCAGATTACTTATATAAAACAGTAAAACGTCAGTTCTGATCATTTTAGGGCTAAATTTCTACTAGTATACATGAATAAATACAGTCATTCTGTCCATTCCAGCAGGAGTATTTTAAAAATATGAAGAGAATGGTGAAATGCTTCTGAGAGACCAAACTCATAAATACAGACTTTTGAGCCAAACATTTATTGCAGTTTACTGTGATATGCATAGTGCACAGAGTTATCACAATGACAATAACTTTTTGATATATTGTGCAGCCCTAATCTATAGTACACAGCACTACAACTACTACGAACACAGCACCACAACTACGACGAACACAGCACCACAACTACTACAAACACAGCACCACAACTACTACAAACACAGCACCACAACTACACACAGCAATCGATGAAAGGCTGAATTAATGCATCAGATACAAGCTGACTGCTGTTTGTTACACTTGTTTTAAAGCTTGTCACTCTGTACATTGAGGCTAAAACAGGCTTGTATCACTTGTGTCTAACTGTTGAAACAGGAAGTGAGTGTGAAAGAAGAGGAAGCTGTCCTATTTGATAACACCAAGTGTTGTAGTTAGACATGAGCAATACACAATGTGCATATTCATAGCAATAAGATAAGGACTGATGTTTTCTGCAGAAAGGAGCTGTGTAAACCCTACGAGATCTATGTCTGTAAACCGAAACCAGATCATCAGACTGTGTTGGTGGGTGGGCTACATGACTAAATGTGGGCTAAAGGACTAACTGTTGGCTACAGGACTAACTGTTGGCTACAGGACTAACTGTTGGCTACAGGACTAACTGTGGACTACAGGACTAACTGTTGGCTACAGGACTAACTGTTGGCTACAGGACTAACTGTGGGCTACAGGACTAAATGTGGGCTACAGGACTAAATGTGGACTACAGGACTAAATGTGGACTACAGGACTAACTGTGGGCTACAGGACTAACTGTGGGCTAAAGAACTAACTGTGGGCTACAGGACTAAATGTGGGCTACAGGACTAAATGTGGGCTACAGGACTAACCGTGGGCTACAGGACTAACTGTGGACTACAGGACTAAATGTGGACTACAGGACTAACCGTGGGCTACAGAACTAACCGTGGGCTACAGGACTATCTGTAGGCTACAGGACTCTGTTGGCTACAGGACTCTGTTGGCTACAGGACTATCTGTTGGCTACAGGACTATCTGTTGGCTACAGGACTATCTGTTGGCTACAGGACTAACTGTGGACTACAGGACTAAATGAGGGCTAAAGGACTAAATGAGGGCTAAAGGACTAAATGAGGGCTAAAGGACTAAATGAGGGCTAAAGGACTAAA